GGCTGGCACCGCCACAACCCGCCCGCCGGAGTGACAGGAGCCCTGCTACCCGCAGCAAAAACCTGCCCAAGGTACGGAGCATGCGCCGCCGCTCCCCCAGCCCCGGAGGAGTTTCCAGGGGAGGAGTCCGCTGCTCCGCGGGGCTCGGGGTGGCATCTGGCGCCGGGAATCCCTTCTGCCTCGAGGGAGGAGAGACTGGGGAGCGAGGCAAAGGCGGAGCCAGGAGCGGCCCCGCAGGAGAGCGTGGCTGCTCTCTCAATCGGGAGGTGGAGAGAAATCTGGCCGGCCTGTCGACGGGAATAACACCTGCACACCGCTGGGTGGATTCCCCTAAACAGGACTTCACAGGAGTAGGCTGGTCCCTTGTCAGCAGGGGAAATTGCCTCCAGGCAGCTTTTCATTTCTACCCAAAACATTCTAACTGGTGCTCAAGTTTTTCCCAGCCCTTCCTTAACGACAAACTTGGTGTGTCCAACTCGACAACTTCATTCAACCAGCATCCAGTCATGGTGAGACGCCATTGTCCCTTAGGCGTCTACGGTGAATCGGTGAATCGATCAGGCTCTGTGTTCAACACCCAGTTCATTTCTTCCAGCCCAGACAGCCCTTCCCACAACCATGCAGTACTTATGGAGTAAGAGGCGTTTAGGGGTCACCTGCTGAAATTCATCCTACTCATACACCTTGAGGTACTAAATATGCAAGACCCACCCCTTCCCCCCAATGTGGACGATAAGACCTGCACTTACCTGTATTTCTTAACATAAATTAGCTCTTTTTTTAAAAAAAAAAAAGAACTTTATTTTTTTCAAACATCTAAATTTTGCATTTACCTGAGAACCAAATCTTTAGATAATAACAATTTCTGTTTTTCAGATAATGGATGTTTGTACCATCAATTGGAATAAATTCCTGGTCTTGTTTGACCCAAGTGGAGAGTGGCAGTGTATTGAAGGTCAAGACAATGCAGTTTTATCCCCTAGCCCATACTATCATGTTCCTCCTGGCTACCCTGCCAGTCCCAGTCAACCACACCTGGCATTCCATGCCTTTGTATCAGCCAACTTTCCCACCTGGCCTCCTTATAGATCTATGAGGTACTTGTCTCTTCCTGAGACACTGTGCTGATCTCTTTCATTTGTTAGACTGTCCCCTTGGCAACCATCACTTAAGATCCAGATCTGTTTCAGGGATGCTAAGGCTTGCCCATAGGAGGTTATTTTTCATTTTCCAGGCAGGTGGGGGTTCACCTTAACAAAGCTTCCCTCCTCTGCTTCCTTTCCTCTTTTCAACTCTATAAACAGCCACAAACAGTGCCCTTCCTGATACTGTATGACCTATATTAGTAAGAAAGGTGCGAGGTAAGATGAATCCGCTTCTTTAAAGCTTACTAGATTCTTTTTCTTTCATTTAAAGTTTAAAATCCTTTTAATAGCATCCCACTACTCTCCCAAGCAAGAAATTCAAATAGAACCAAAACCCCGATAAAACCCAACAGTTATTCCCTGTGTGCATCCAGTTAATGGTGTCCTTATTTTGAAATACATACATTTGCTTTAGCAAAGTAAAAATTTATCATATTTTCATATTACTTTATTTGAGAAGTTTCTCATTTTTTATAAAATCACTTGCTATCATATGGATAAATATAACCTTGTTCGCTACACAAATGTGTAACCTGAGTGCTGGTGGCAATTTGTATAGTGGAAAGCACTTTCCTAGCCATTATCTCATCTGCTCCTCAGAACAATACTCTAGGGCAGCGGTTCTCAACCTGTAGGTCGCGACCCCTTTGGGGGTCGAACGACCCTTTCACAAGGGTCGCCTAAGACCATCAGAAAACACATATATAATTATATATTGTTTTTGTGATTAATCACTATGCCTTAATTATGTTCATTTTGGAACAATGAAAATACATCCTGCATATCAGATATTTACATTACGATTCATAACAGTAGCAAAATTACAGTTATGAAGTAGCAACGAAAATAATTTTATGGTTGGGGGTCACCACAACATGAGGAACTGTATTAAAGGGTGGCGGCATTAGGAAGGTTGAGAACCACTGCTCTATGGCGATCAGAGGAGCATAATATCCCATTTCAGAGATTATGAAACTGAACCAAGGAAAGCTGGGTGAAAGCAGAGCCAAAACTAGAAACCACTAATATCCCTGAAATACATTCAAATCACCTTTGAAAAAATCCAATGAACATCAACAACAGAGCCCATAATTTCCTCTCTCCCTCTCAAGACCCTTTGAGTCAAGAGACAGGAAGAGGCAAAGGAATTGCAATAGAACAATTGAATTATTTTACCTCTCCCTCAGGCTAAAAGGCAAGCTGAGCAATCTCCACACCCTGAAGTATTTTGGACTTAGTCAGAGAGTTCCCAGATAAAGGAGAAAGACAATACTATTTAACAAGGATTATATCATTGCTAAAAGACATTATTCAGGAGAATTTCAGAAGAAAGCATAATAACAAACAAATATAACAGCTATGTTGCTAACAAAATATATTTCCATAAATAAGTGTACCTTTAACCCTCTTCAAAAAACATTATCCTAGAAGTTCTCCTTTGCTTTCAATAAAATACATAAGGAGGCACCAACATTTCCCTGGGGTAACCACAAGGCAAACAATGCATAGAATCAAGCAATGACACAGTTAATTCAGGCATGGAACCAAGTATTCGTTTTTAATGATGGGTAATGTTGGTGGTGTGAACACTGTCCCAGGAGTGGCCTCCCTATCACAGTTGTGGAACTTGGTGTGAAACTAATCAGAGCTCTTAAATCATGCAATAAACAGGCTTTCTTATCGACAAGGGCAGACCTCACATTCAGGTGAAAATAAATAGAAATTTTCTAAAATTGAATGCTCTCCAGGTGAAAAGGAAAAACATATTTGCATTCAGCCTACTATAGTTACTCCATCATGACACCAGCTGGCAATTGTTTCTGGCTAACAGATTGCAGCTACTACGATTCCTACACAAATTATTAAAATAATAAAAATAATGTTTTCAAAGAGCTTCCTTCCACTTCCTTTGCCAGTCTAGCAATGAGCTTAACACTATCTGTGAAGCAATTTGTTCACCTAATTTTATGCCTTAATAAGCTTTACTACAATTATTTTCTTGCCTGATTCTCTCTCTGCCTTAACTTTAGCACTCTTCCTCCCTGTTCTTCTCAAATATTCTCAAACCCGTTAACAACATTGCACTCCCCTGGGATTCAAACTTTTGATTAGAACAGTCCCCATTTAATCAAGTTCAATTGGGAGATAAAATTGCATCTCAACTTCTCCATTTTCCCTTTGGTGCCAGAAACTGCCTCTGAGATTGTTGAGGAAACCCTGGAGAGATTAACAATCCAAACGATCACAGAGAATAGTTTTAGATTCCCTGATTTGCACACAGTAATATAGAGGTATGAATGCCCTTCAATACAAATGAAAAACAAAATAGATTATGTAAGTGATTGGCAGTGTGAATCTCTCCTTTAAGAATACAAAGTGCTCTTATACACGGAAATGACTTTTTTCATTTTTGTAAACAAACAAACAAAAAAAAAAAGCCCCTGGGGTAAGCAGTTTTGCAAATAACCAGAAAAGCAATGGCTTTCTTTTTCCTGAGGAAGTTAAGCAGAGAGTTTGTATAGGCAGGGCAAACTGCAGAAAGAATGTGATATATACTGAATATGTTCCAGTTCACTACATGATTGTAACTCTGGGGCAACCATAACCCTACACACTGCTTTCCTTGAAGTTCTATTTATATTAACAGTTTGTTCTTTGCTTTCTTGTATAACACTCTTCATTCACCATAGGTAGCTGCCTATGAATGATGAATGGAAACTGTACTGTCTGTATGCATAATGCATTCATTAACTTATTATAGTATAAGCAGATACAATAATCTTTTCAGAGTAGATATTCACTGATTTCTTCAACAAGAGCTTGTCAAGCATTTACTCTATACCAGGTGTAGTTCTGAGTGTTTTGTTAATACAACATTAAACAAGACCAATAAGGACCCTTCCATCATGTATCTTACATTCCAACAATGGAAAAATAAAT